AGAGCAAAACTTAAATTCCAATAGTGTTTGATAGGTTGAAAATTTATAAATATTAATTTGAAATTTTTGCCTCAATATTATTGATAATTGGATAAGAATTACGAGATTTTGCTTTATTTTACTTGATTTTCATTCCTCGTACAAAAAATGACTTAATCGGAAACAATTATAACTTTTAGGATCAAATAGTAGAGATTAGTTCCCTAAGGATTAAAGTATACAGAAACCAAAAGTTAGGGATCAGTGCTGTCATTTTGCCATTATCCAAAATTTCTTAAAAGGCCAAAATCTCGGCATGGACTTTGTTTGCTTGCATTGGTGATGGTAGCCGCACCTCGTTTGGGGTGTTGACTGCTCTTGCAATTTTCAGCAAACTAGTGTCAAGTCCATACTCCATTGCGTCCTATGCTCTCTCTCTCTCTCTCTATATATAGTGATATAGAGTAAGTTGTTCTCTTAGAATTTTTTTTTAAGAAATTTATTTAAAAACTTATAATTTAATTAATAGTTTTAAAAATTAATCATTGAATTAAAAATTAAAGTTTTTTAAAAAAAGACTTAGTATAGTAGCACCTAGAGGCACATAAAAAAAAACCTAAAAAATAAAATAAATAAAAGAATTTTTTTTTAAGAAATTTATTTAAAAACTTATAATTTAATTAATAGTTTTAAAAATTAATCATTGAATTAAAAATTAAAGTTAAAAAAAAAAGACTTAGTATAGTAGCACCTAGAGGCACATAAAAAAAAAACCTAAAAAATAAAATAAATAAAAGAATATTAAGGAATTAGGTAGTGGTGCCTAGTTCAAGCACAATCATTTGTATGAGACGTAATGAATTGAGCATCTTCTAAAAACAAAAACAAAAAAAGGAAAAAAAAAAGTCGAATTTTTCATAGTTTTTATTACCTAAGTATATATGTTTGTAGGGGTGTTTATGCACTTACTACACTAAAACCAATTGGTTTTAGAGTAATTAGCAACAAACTCGTTATACAAGTAACTTAAAAAGTTTAAGAAACTTAACACACCAAAAGAAAGAAAAAAGGAAAAAAAATAATTGTTAAAATGTAAAGATCTAAACTTGAAAACTTATTATTAAGAATTTCCTTACTTACACTGGGTACTCATGAATTAAATTTTTTGATAAGTGGTGTAAAGAATATGATTGAGTATCAACTTCAAGAAGATAGACTACTTTTACTTGAGCTTAAGTGAGTGGATGAAAATTCTCAAATATTTAGAATTTTGTATATAATTGAACTTTAATTCTCATTTTTCTTACACATATTATTTTATTGCATTCTTGCATTGAGATTTTGTGGGTAAATTTGCTAAAAACTCTCACAAGACACAACTTATCCACTAGGGTGTCCAGGGGCTTTAAGGCTTATACGTGCTAAATACAATCATAATTTTTACAAAAATGAGTTATATTCTATTTTTTTGTTATTTTATTCAAGGAAGAGCAAAACTTAAGTTCAAGGGTGTTTGATAGGCTGAAATTTTATAAATATTATTGTGAAATTTTTGCTTAATATTCTTGATAATTAGATGAGATTTATGAGATTTTCCTGAATTTTACTTGATTTTCATTCCTTGTTAAAAAAAATGACTTAATTGGAAAAAATATAACTTTTAAGACCAAACAGTAGAGATTAGTTACCTAAGGATTAAAGTATGCAGAAACCAGAAGTTAGGTATAAGTGCTGTAATTTTGCCATTATCCAAAATTTCTTAAAAGGCTAAAAGCTCGACACGGGCTTTGTTCCACTGCATTGGTGCTGGTATCGATACCTCCTTTAGGGTGTTGACACCTTTTGCAATTCTCAGCAAGCTAGTGTCAAGTCTATACTCCATAATGTCTGTATGCAATATACATATATATATATATATATAAAATTAATGTAAAACAGAACAGATCATTCTCTTAAAATTTTTTAGGATTTATTTAAAAATTTATTTTTAATTAATATTTTTAAAAACTAATCATTAAATTGAGAGTTATATTTATGTAAATCAAATATATTAGTTTTTATATCAATTTAACACTTATATCCCTTTAATTATAGCACTTGGGTCTTCGGTCCAGTAACATCAGACCACATATCAGTGCATTTTTCCTTCCCGAAAACAACGATTCGAATTCGGTTCTTTGCGAATTTGTTCAAAAAAATTATAAAAATTTTATTTAATAATATATATTTAATGGTATTAAATTTTATATAATTAATCAAGTGGTTAAGTTTACTAGAACAATAAATTTTTAAACAAATACTCCCAAAAAATTTGAAAATATGACTTGTAAAAAACTTTTTTCATATATATTGACATGCATAATTTATATAAACAGAATTTTTAATTCAACTATTGGATTTTTAAAATATCAATTAGAATATAAGGATAATGTATATAAATATCAACTCTTAAAAAAAATTAAAATCTTAACTTTAAACAACCTTATTTTATTTAATTAAAACACAAATCAAAATTTAAAGATTTAACTTATTAAATATTGATACCTACATTTAAAAATTAATTATATATTTTAATATAATTTATTTCAAAATCTAAATATTATTTCATATACACGCATACACTGATCCACACTTTTCTTCCTGCATCTGTAACATCATTTCATAAACATATATCTACATTTATGGGCCAAAAAGGGTGTGATGATTTACAATCTCTATTATGTAGTACTGCAAATTCATAGAGCTAGCGTTTTATCTGATATTTTCACTAACTATATATTGTCTTTATTTGTTTTAGTGACCATATCATAATTGTGATATTAACAAATAACAATTTTCTCCTTTAAAAAACGGTTAAGTGGTTAAAAAATTGAATTTACATTTTGAAAATTTTAAATTCAAATTATAAAACAAATAAAAAGAGATTTGGAAAAAAAAATTATCTTTTATTATATAATTTATTATCCAATAAGTACAACAACAAAAAAATAAATAACAGTCCTAGAGTTAAGGATGCCCAATTAACAAGCACCATAGAAAAACTATATTCCTCATGACCCATTGCATTATCATTTCAAATTTATGAGGCCATGCCTAGATCCAATTACTTGCATGCAAACAAACTTGAAACTGCCAACAAAACCAAACCCAAGAAGATATTCCCCTCCACAAAATTTTATCACATGCATGTCATTGCCATGACACTTTTTCTTTTGTTTCTTAGAAGTTTTCTACCAACCTATCGCTCTTCTGACGTGACGACAATTCAATAGCAGCTGGCATAACCAAGAAAGCCCTCAGTTAGGCGCCTATATATGATTCCAGATCCACCAAAGTCACCCAGAAGGATACTAATTAGTAAATAGAACTGCAGAAATTTATAAACGTACAACCATTAGATACCAACTTGGCATGTCGTAGTTTGGACGTGATGGCCGGCCTTGTTGGTAGTTTGCCGTCACTTTATCCTTGCCGTCCCTACAACGTTAAGTGCGGTCTTGTCCGCAGGACAACTCCAAGGGTGGTTCGAGTTGTCGGCTCTCTCTAATTGCATCACCCGTTCCGGTATGTCTAGTACAATCAAAATTTAGAATTTTGAGGAAGCATGGGAATAATATATTATAGGGGAGATTTCTTCTTCTTCTTCTTCTTTTCATGATTTCTCATGCCCTACCTCAGTTACATCTATTTTCTTTTTTTAACAAATTACATTAAGAGTGAGAGATTCAAACCTCAATTCTTGGATTGAAAATATACTTTTAACGTGATTTATAATCATCAGATCACAAGATCAAAGTTAAATTATATGTATGTTATGTAACTTACAAGGTCAATATCTAATCATTTTCAAAATGAGTACTAGATTACACACTAAACTATTATAGTATTAATTAGGGCAATTATTGTTGTAAACCATTAAAATAATCAACATGGGAGGTGG